GAAGTGAAAGACGCAATTAAAAAGAAAAAGGACTTATATAAACAGTGGATAAAATCAAAGAAAGAAGAATATATAAACTATAGACTGCAAAGGAGAGAAACCAACAGGAGTGTCAAGAAAGCAAAACAAGCATCCTGTGAACGTTTCAGTGAGTCATTAGCAGAAAATGAGAAAACAGCCAGCAGAAAATTTTTCAAAGTAGTTAAAAATATGCGGAAAAGAGATGAGAGCTACAACCCCACTGAAATAATTAATGATAAGACAGGAAGGCCGTTGATAGATCCACACGAGATAGCAGAAAGATGGAGAGAATACTTCAATGAGCTCTTTAATCCTCTAGATCATCAGGAAAGAACAACTGAAGTGCACAGAGCAACAGCGTTAGAACCACACATACTAATGGATGAAATAGAAAAGTCATTAAGCAGTCTCCCAGATATAAAGCACCAGGAGCTGATAGATTACCAACAGAAATAATTCAAACAGCAGGTGAAAGCAGCACCATATGGCTTCACAGAATATTTAATGCAGCATGGATACAACAAACTGCTTCTATTGATTGGCAACATGCAATAGTTATACCATTGTGGAAGAACAAAGGAAGTAAACGATAATACGGTCAATACCGAGGCATCTCTCTTTTAAGCCATGTTGGCAAAATGTATGCATAGATAATAGAAACAAGACTGAGACCATTGATAGAACCACAGCTGGCAGAAGAATAGATGGGATTTAGGAGAAATAGAAGCTGCACAGATGCAATCTTCATACTTAAACAATAGAAAAGAACATTTGTCGTGAAATGATAAGCCATTACGCATCACCCCTAAAATAGTCGAGACCTGTATTACCTGTGCTCGACACAACATTCAAACTTGGACTCGTCCGGAAAGGTATATAGTCCCTTATATCGATATATGCCTTTATCGGACATAATTATAATATCTACATTTTCTAGTTGCTTTGACTTAGCGTCATTTTCAAATTTGCAACTATTGGATAAATATTACTGGAGTTATTTGAGGTTTCTTGGAAACCGATTTACTCCTTGCTCCTGTATACAAGGAACTACTTCTTACCAACGCCTGAATTAAAATTTAGCGGTATTATTCTGCCGGCTTTCCTGGAACTCAGACGTGACCATCGACGCCAGTACATTTCATTTTAAAAAGGCGGTCTGTGGCGCATAGGACTTTTCCTATGCTTGGGATGAAACCTTTGTGAAGAGCTGGCAGAAGAATAATAGTCCAACCAAACATCAACCTATTACCAACCAATTATCACCCAACTACCAATTGTGAAGACTGACATCCTCAGGATTGGGTGCCATATACCCCAAACATCATACAGTGCCAGAGCATGTGTGTAGCTCAGGGACAGTGCTGCGAATGACTAGTGGGAGAGACTTGTTAAGTGCCTATCCAGTGGCTGTGTCCTTTGAGGTATTCCTTCACCATCTGATCCAGTGGAAGCAGAATTACCAAAGACAGTCGAATCATCAGGAGCTGAGGGAAGCATCAACGATAGAAAGAGGATAAGTGCCAGTTTAATGCCATGTTTTGCTATATTCCTCACAGTTCCCCAAGGATGATTTGTGTAATCTCCAGATCATTCTGGCTGTTTAGTTATCTTTGCAATCTGGACATTGTCTGGAATCCAGCTATTGAGATCTGGCATCTACTTCACTATTATATATATGTTGTATTGATTACATGCATTCATTTTCATGGCTGACTTAGGTGTCTCTATTTCACCTTTTTTAAGTGTTTAGCATTTGTGTGTGTATGAATCTTAAATATATGTGTTAACATGGTTATGATAATGAACTATCATAACCTGGGATCTTTCTTTAGTAAGTAGTGGGGGTGTCCAGCCAAGTGTGCCTAAGAATATTGTATTCATATACAGAAATATTTTGTAGTGCCAATACTTGAGTTGCCCTACTCCAGAAATAAGTTGGAGCGTATATTGACCACGGGGAATCCCTTAGACCAATACGAGCCAAGCGACTCAACATAATTATTTCTGAGTGCTGTTGGTTCTGAAGGAGAAATCCTTAAATCAGGCACGTGACAGGAGGGAGTGATATGTGACAACATTGAGTACAATAAGAACTTATTTGTGGCATTCGTAGACTAGGAGAAGGCATTTGACAGAGTCGACAACCAATTATTATGGAAAGTAATGGCAAGATATGGAATAAGCGAACATCTCATCGAAGTGTGCAAAAGTTTATACAGGGATTGTAGAAGTGTAGTTAGAATAAATCAGGGAACATCTCATCCATTCACGGTGACATCTGAAGTAAGACAAGGGTGTGTCTTATCACCTACATCGACAGTATATGCAAGAATGCCAAGACCATGAATGAAAATGTTAGTAAGATCAACGAATTACTCTTTGCAAATGACCAGGCCTTGATAGCAGATACAGCCATGAAATTGCAACAACATCTAACATCCATGAATGAAGAATGTAAAACAAATAATATGAGAATCAACACTGAAAAGACAGAAGTAATGACAATAGGAAAAAAGAAGACAGATCTAAACATAGCAAGAGTGCAAAGGCATTAAGCAGGCATCTGAGTTTAAATACCTGGGAACTACATTTACCGAAGATGGGAAATTGGATAAAGAAATTAACATTAGATGCAGTAAAGCAAACCAAGTATTGGGACAGCTAGCCCCCCCCCCCCCCCCTTCTTACAGCATAAGACAATCCCAATCAGCATAAAGAGACATCTTATTCAAAGCATATTTTTTCCAACTGTGTGCTACCAGTGCCAGACATGGTCACTCACAACAAACCATAAAAGAAAATTAGTAACTACGGAAATGAGATGTCTGTAGGAGTGACCATAAGAGATAAGATCAGGAATGAGATCATAAGAGAAAAAAATCGGCACAGAACCAATTCTAAATTACATACGAAGACAGCAAGTGAAATGGTTTGCCCACTTAGAGAGAATGCCTTGTGACACCATACCATACAAAGCATACATGGAAAAAGAGATGGAAGTAGAGCACGAGGTAGACCAAGAACAAGTTGGAAGGATAACATCAGAGAAACTCTACAACAGCACCATGTGCCTATTATCGAGGTGGCCAGAAACAGAACCTTATATCTCCCTCGACACCCACAGCGGTAAAAAAGGGAGTGAAGTAGAAGATTCAAGACAGTCAGTGTTTTAACAACCTCTAGTTTATTTTCTCCAACGATACCCAGCAGGATACATCTAGAATAATTTGCCCTTTTTTGGGACCACCTCCCAACTGGCAATTTATCATGCAAAGCAAATTTCAAAACAGCACCCTTTTCCCCAGAAAAAAAACAGCACAGCGAATAAAATGCCAAAATTACTATTTTTATGCTTGATCTACCACCCCCTGAAATATTGGACTGTTTCATGACCTGTGGATTTCCCCTGTTTATGGTCGGATATTATGAAAGTACCCCGCATTCTAACGAGATGGCCAAACTACTTGATCTGCTGTTTCTCGATGAATCTAGAATAAAGTGTCCTATTTAACCTATGAGCATTTCAGTGGTTTTAGATAAATTGTCAGAATTCCATTATTGTGGATTTCAAGTTGTGCAACATATATGACTAATGATCTTTGGGAACAAGCAACAGAATCAGTAGAGAAAAAAAAAGAAAGCGCCTTGGTGTAACCAGAGGGTGGGGCCACCTCACTACACTCAGAGGAAAGGTAAGACAAATGGACTTTTAACCAGATTATGACCAGTACCATCAGTATTGGAACTCTGCGCTGGCTGCTAAAGATGAGGACAGAGCAGACATGAGAATGCCCTGAATGCTGTGATGTCCATTCTCGACTCAACTCAACATGGCAAATAAAACACCACCAGGTGCCTAGTTGTTTATGTATTCCAGCACACTTGTTTCCATAGCTAGATTCGCATACCCTCTTATCAACTGCCCTTCTGTAGAAATATAATTTATGAACAAGGATAAGTGGGAAGTGTATGAACAGCCTCAAAAGGGATCAAGGGGTAGTCGAAGGGGAGGGCAAAGAGAACCTGGAGTATCAACATCGAGAAATGGACAGTACTAAGTTATAACATTTATCCATTAGTTGGAAGACAAGAAAGATGACGGGTTGTGTATGTCAACCCACAATTATTCGCTTGTTGAATAAATTCTTAGTAATTTTATCCGGTCCATTTCTTGACGACATTCCAGTGTCTTTGTAATCGAACCAAGTCTCACCACGTGCCCAAACCAAGCTAGTTTGCAATGTTTTACCAATGCCAGAAAAGGCTACTGATGTGCATCTGCCCGTAAGGCAAAAACCAACAATCTGCCCATAAATTAGCCAATCTGTAGAATGGATGTGCATGCAAAAAATAATGTACTGGAACAAGACTAAAGTCCAGAAGTGGACGACCTATCATAACTTTCTGCTGGAGATTACAACTGAAGGCTGCCTTACTTTCCCAATTACTACACCTTCCACATTACAAAACAGCTACAAAATAAAAACACGAAACATACCTTAAGAATGCTCGGTAAAAAAACTTTATTCAATCAGCGCATGCATTTTGTTTAGACAAAATAATAAATCCAAAAAAAAAAAAAAAAATCAACACCAAAGTAATGGTTGATACTAGAAAGTCCTTGTCAAAAACTAATGCACAAGTTTGTCAACGCCAACTAGAAAAGTCAACCTAACCTTACAAAAGAAAACTCGTAAAAATTGCATAGGTCAACATATAACTGCAGTCTCTGTCCAATTTGGTCACTTAATTAAAACGGCCTGATATCTAGGTTTAGAAGTCAAATTCAATTTCACTTTAATCCCGTCAAATGGTAGAATAAAAGTAGCACAATACACAAGATTTTCCCTGTCAAAGATACTAGACGTGCACTTCTGTCATTGGGTGACATAAAACAAAGAGCCAGCCCTGAAGATCCAGATGACACCAACCAATCAAGAAATGTTGGTCAAATTCTCATCAGGTTGTTTCAAAAGTCATCACTGGGTGCCCTCGTTATACATCTGAACAGACAAAGAAACAAGCTAGATTTAGCCAACTGGTAACAGCTTATGAAATCTTAAGTGTTTTCTGTCTGTCTGTTCCTAGTCTTCTTTGCTGGCAATGGTTGTGGAGGAAGGTTCAGATCTGACGGTGTCATTGCTAGCATCTTCCTTTGTGTCACTGTGGTTCTGGCGAAACAAAACACACACAAAAGCCATCTAACAACCATGAAAGAACAGGTAACACATCGTGCAGAAATCACTGCTGATTGATAGAGTAATATCAGGAAGATAATGCATGCAGTAACCACTTTGCTGACAGATAAGAGCCTACATAGAACTTGGGATGATCATGTAAGCGCTCAGTCCCCATCTTGAGGGCACTGCAACACACTAAACGTATGTCCACAAAATCACCTGGTCATTCATCACTGCATCATTTCTCTATCCATCCCCAACAGAAGCATTTCTGCTGCAGTTCTCAGGTTAAAATGATCAATCTATATAAGCATGAGTCCAGGGGTTACTTGGGTATTGTTTATAGTTCAATGTGATTTCTGTTTTCACTGAGTGTTCTTTTTCTCAACAAAAATATTTTCTATTACTCAGACAGGTGCAGCTGTCTAAAAACTGGGAGCTTGTGTAACATGGACAGGCTTGGATGGTGATATGTATAGCATCGTCCAAGATCTTAGTTTTATCACTTCCTAGACCATTCAACCTTTGATACATCGGGTTATCTGCCAGCCTTCTGAATGTTTCTGTTTGTTGCTGGGCTTTTCTGTCTCGCCTATTCTCTATTTGTTGTAGAAATGTAATCTTTTCTTAATAGACATTTTCTCTCCTAGTGTAGATTCTTGGGAACTCTTATCAGCTCCCCATGTTGTACCAGCAAGCTTGTTAATGATTGCCATTCTTTGCCTTGATCTTGTTCGACTGGCCTCTACCTCTGACTTCCATGTTAGGTAGTAATAAAATGTGACACCTAATTATTCTGGACTATTCTGGAAGCAGTATTTTTTCATTTAGCACTAGCTGAACCTGCTGTTTTTATATGAGAGGGAGAACACTTCAATAGTTAACATAATTGCTCTCTTCTATAAAGACCTTTCCTGCAGTATAAAAAATTACAATACATCTTTCCCAGTAAAGACGGGTGTAAGACAGGGATGTGTTATGTCATCTCTCCTCTTCAACCTTGTGATTGATTGAATACTAAAGAACACAGTAGACAGGACATCGAGAGGCATACGATGGACTCCATTCACCATGCTTGAGGACCTTGATTTTGCAGATAACACAGCACTCCTATCACATAAACATATACAAGAGAAAAGTAACAGACTAAACTGCACAGCAGAAATGGTGGGACTGAGAATAAATACAAAGAAAACTAAGATCATGACAAACAGTCCAAACCAACAACCAGTGACCATAAGTAACCAATCACTTGAAAATGCAGAACATTTCACATATCTTGGCAGTGTGGTGTCCCTACTGGGAGGGACAGAGGAAGACATACAGTCACGTCTGAACAAAGCTAGAGCTGCTTTTGGAAAGATGAGGCAAATCTGGAAATCCAACAATTACTGCAGAGGAACGAAACTCCGACTCTACAAGAGCTTCATTTTGCCAGTTCTTCTTTATGGAGCGGAATCCTGGAGAATGACCACAAAGGATGCACTCAAGCTGTCACCTTCCACCACACATGTCTACGTAGAATTATCAAAATTTTCTGGCCAGATACAATCTCAAACACTATACTTCAAGCCACAAACCAAGAAACTTTAGACAGTATGATTACCAAGAGAAGATGGAAATGGCTTGGCCACGTTATGAGGATGACTTCTGATACACCTGCCAAAACAGCTCTCACATGGACACCAGAGGGAAAGAGAAAACAGGGGCGCCCAAAAACAACATGGAGACGAACGATAGAAAGTGACCTGAGTGCATCATCTTTGACATAGAAAACTGCACTGAAGATTGCACAGGACTGGAAAGTCCTCTCTGAAGCCTCATGTGCCACTAGGCATAATGAGAACTGATGAGAACACTTCATGTTTTCTCTTCACTAATACTAACTAGCCATTTTTTTAAAACCAAGATGTATAAATTGTTTGGTCATGTCACGAGAAGGGGGAAAATCAGAGCACAATCTGACAGCAAAATGCTGAAGAGAAAAAAGAGAGAGAGGAGCAAAGGAAGAACAAAAGATAAGATGCTAGAAAGTCAGGCAGCATGGCCCGGAGAATCACCCGCGTCGGAAATGACTACAAAAAAAAGAGAGAAAGACCACAAGCAAATGTGACTATTAATATATCATTTTCTATAAACCACACAATATCATAAATCCACTAGCAGGCTTTTAGGGTTGCCTATAATGAAGTTTTTGTAGCAAATTAAAAAAACATTCAAAAATATAACTCCTTTATCCGAGAAAGACTGCTACTCTATCCCTGGAAAACCCACCAAGACAACCTTGTGTCGACTGTTCGGCCCCCAAGGGAAGGTAGGGGCAATTTACAAGCATTCCCTGCCATCCAAGGAACAAATATATGATGCTCTGGTTTTTGGTTCATCCTAGGGAATCACCATGTCCTGCAAATGACTGCTTAAACTTACACTTCGACAGGAAAACATGTTACTTGTACTAGCATACCCACCAAAGGGTAGCTCAGCATCCATACTTGCCACTTAAAAAGATAAAGCAAAACAAAAAAGCAACAAAATATGACTAACAACTTACTGGTTTACTCTGGCGGTAGCCACCACGCCCACGGCCCCGTTGGCGAGGTCCTCCTCTGGATGGCCCACCTTGGTATCCGTAGTAGCCATCATAATAACCGCCACGGAATGCTGGAGGCCCGTAGTATCTACGGTAGAAAGGTCTGCGGCCACGGTATCCCTGGTCACGCTGTAGCTGGTACTCTCCCTGACCCTGAAAAGTGAAGAACAGAGTTTGTTTAAAAGAAGGAAAAAAAAACAACTAATACTAAAGCAATGGATCCCTGTTGCGGATCTGAACAAAAAAGATTACACCACTAATGGCAAGTTTCGATCCCTAGTGCAGGCAATTTAGCAGTAAATCACTCTCTGTTGGTTTTAACAGGGACATTCAGAACTGACCATTCTGAAAGCAATGACAAATCACCCGATGTAAGATTGCCCAGTGAAATATTTGACTGTTTTGAAGAGTTTTTCAGCACATTAGACATATGCAGCTTTCTGAGCATGTCATTTCCACAGATGCCAGGGACACACAGGACTTTCATTTATCTTGTTGCTTTGACAGCTGCTTTGTTCTGTCCATCTTCCAAGAGTTGTTCACAGGTAAAGCCTCAAAATCTGCCCGTGCACTGTCTGTTCTTTTTTCCGGGCGTCATTTCCAGGAAACGGGCCTAAAGCCTCATTTTTACCACTGCAAAAACCAGCTCCCTTTCCCCTAGAATTGTTTACAAACAAGCCTCAATTTTAATGACCACTGTCTGTTTTCTTCTCACGCAGCAATAAAGAACTCGCTCTTATGCTTCTTAAGTTATGCATACATTCATAAACAGTTCGAATGCACACAAATGTTGCATACACTAGGTTGGCTTTTTTGATTGACAATATGATATCTCCATTCATACCTCCAAGAATGGTCTTCCTCCACCACCACCAAGATGTGGGACTCCAAAATATCTTCTGTTCTGGAAAAATGGTCGACCTCTGCCCCTGCCTCTTGGGGAAGGATAATCTATGGGTCCCTCGTCTTCTTGGAAATCCTGCAAGAAAAATTCAATTTGAAAATTGTAACTGCAACACAATCCCCTCTGACAAGGTGAGTAAGAGCTATATAAATATTATCCTGATATATGGAAGTGAATCATGGACAGCTGACCAGTTAGTGACAAATCTTGCAGACAGGTGGAATGGGGAAAGAGTCAGAAGATGCTAGGCATCATGGCATGAAAGATCCTTTATGTCAGAACTGACTGAAAGTGCTTGAGACAGGGGGTTGTGGATAGACATGGACTACTTTAAAAAAAAAAAAAAAGAGAGACTACGATACCATCAGCACTGAAAAAGCACACAGAAGATCCTCACAAGACCCCAACTCTTCATTAAGAGTAAAGAAGAACACTAAATGGAAACAATGCGCGTATATAGGTGATACTGTGCAGTAATTTTTCACACAAAGTAAGAAAAAAAAATGGGTGATTTCAACGCAAAAGTTGGAAGTGAAACAGTATGTGGAGTAACTGGGGGCTAAGACCTAGGAGGAAAGAATGAATGAGGTGAAATATTGGGATTGGTCATATAGTATGATAATTAGCAACTTTTGGTTTAAACAACATCCTGGACTGTTAAAAAAAAGTCTTGGTGATTATGTCCGCAAGCAGAATGTTACTGTGATCCTGTTCCAGTTATAGGAAAATTTGAAATAAAACTAAAGACTCTAAAGAAGATCCCAAAGAACATCAAGTTGATTTTAGGAATACTTAAAAAAGATTCAGAAATTAAGAAACAGTAGTGTCACAGTACAAAACATAATGCCATGGAAATAATACAAACTATTGAGAACAATAAGATATACTGCATGAATCAAGTCAGCAGACATCAAAAAAGTATTCCTCCAACATGTCACGTTGCAAACAAATGGATGACAAACAAAATTCTGCAGATGATGGATGGGAGGAAAAAAAGAGAAAAACAATAACTATTCTAGTATACAGATAGAAATAGTGAACAAATGCAGAAAGACTAAAAAAAAAAAACCTGGCTAAATCAGATTGTGCACAGAGATTTGGAAAAATCATGGGAAAGACACATTCCATGCACCGACAGATAAGCATGTTAAAATAGACCAGAAATATATTGCAGGACAACAGTGACTGGCTTCAGAAGATGAGGGTGCACTGCATTACATGAAGAAAAGAGGGGCACTTGGGCCTGACGTCATAATATTGGAAGAAAATGAAGCTTTAGGATATTTTGGAACTGAAGTAGTAACAAAATTGTTAAATGACATTTATAATAGTGGGTATATTCCTAATGACTTTTTAAAATCTATATTTATTGCTCTGCCAAAGAAACCAGGCTCTTTAAAATGTAAAGACTATCGGATGATAAGACTTATGAGCCATGTGGAAGAAAAATGCTGAAAATAATTATGAGGATAAGATACAAGACTAAACTTAAAAATAGTGAAGAAAGTGTGGATTTGTAGAAGGAAAAGATACAAACAATGCCATATAAATCCTCAGGATTCTTTTGGAAAGATTTATAGAAGTAAAAAATTGATTTTTACTTATGCTTCACTGACTACACGAAAGCATTTGACTATAGAACATGAAGAAGAAAAAACTGTTGGAAAAGCTAAACTCTGATGGAAAAGATAAAGAATATCTTTATATGTAAAGAACATTATATGCAATAAATCCATGTCACTGGAGGTTAGGAAAACAAAATTCTCGCATGCTATTCTATAAAGAGCCAGTTTTGTTGTAACATACAGCTGTGAAGCTAAAAAATTATTAAACAAGCCAAACAACATTCTGAGGCCTCAGAGGTGGTTTTACAAAAGAATTCTTAGAATTCCTTGAACAGCTGAGAACAACAATTCAAATGTTTTGAAACAGGCGAGTGCTCAGAGACAACTTATTACAAACATCAGAAAAAGACAAGTTAAGTTATTTTTTGGTCATGTTACGAGAAGAGAGAAAATGAAACGCTGTGACCACTGGAGAGATCTGTGGAGAGAAAGAGAGAGAGAGAGAGAGAGAGAGAGAGAGAGAGAGAGAGAGAGAGAGAGAGAGAGAGAGAGAGAGATGGCAAGGCACTTGATGATGATAGGTGACAACAGCGTATCTGGATATATTCCATACAGCCAGCTTTCTACCTCAGAGATGAATTTCACTCACGTAGTGCTGCAAAATGAACAAATTCTGGATGAATGAAAACTGCTTCTGCAAAGATTATGATACATAAAACACATGTGCCCCTTAAAGTGTTCAGACCCCCTACTCATGACACACTCAGCAACAACTGACAGCACACAAGATTTGTTAATGTATGCGTGTTGGTGGTGGGGGGAGGGAATGCTACTGTACTAACTATTGCAGAAAGACACGCTGAAGAAATGTCATGAACACAGAGCAAGGAGAAGACCAAGCATAAATGAACTGAGGGCATCAAAACAGCCTTACAAACACACAAGATCCACCATCATAATGTAGCTGGGATAAAGAGAAAAAAAGATCATTCGTCTGCTGCAGAATCCTACTGAAGGGTTACATGTTATGACTTAAAGCTGCAGATAAACTGTAAGCCCTGTCTGCATGAAATGCATTGGTGTCCAGATCTCTCTAGAAAAGGTAAATTTTTTTTTTTAATTAAAGTGAGTTTGGTGTAGGCACTTTGAACTGACATTTTAAACAAATCTTACCTGTCGTGGTCTACCTCCTCGCCCGCTTCCACGGTAACGAGGGTACCACCCACCCCGGTTGAACCTGCGACGGTCAGCAGCATATTTACTACCTTGGACATGTGAACCATCAGGGCCTGTAACGTTGGCAGCCTCATTTCCCTAGAAACAGAATTGTTAAAATCTCTATAAAGAAACATATTTGGGAATTGTAAAAAAAATTGAGCATTGTGTTTATTTTTCCCAGGACCAAATGGATGAAAGGGTGGTTGGCATGTCATTTACAACTAGGCTGCAAAATCTGCACCTTTCAGCCTAACACATCCGATTCCAGCAAAACCGTAATTTTTTTAGTTTACGACATGTTCGTTAGAGATCAGTGGGTCTATTCTTTCCATCTACAAAATAGGGTCCCAAAACCCACATGAGATCCAGGCCTTACAAATTTGAAAGGACCAGTCAATTACAATGGTTTAGAGATGTATGCAGAATGGGAGAAAATTGGCCACCATGGTAGGCTAAGAAGCAGACCTGTAGGGCAACCTAAGGTCCGACAGGAAGACAACATTCCTGACTGACGGAGAACTGGAAGGAAACAGCCAGAAAGAAACTGTTGACAGAGAAGTATGGCAATCTCTCCGGCAATCTCTAGACCCCAAGGTAGAAGAGCGATTGAGAAGAAAACCCAAATGAGAATAAAGAACTATACAAATTTAGTTGCTAAGTATTCATTGTATTCTCTCTCTCAGAAAACCATATATCTTTTCAATACAATCAACAGGCTTTTGCCATGTAAGCATTCCCTACACTAGACAAATTTTCAACAAGATATAAGCAATGAGGCAGGGACCTGGCACCCAGCTTGTAATGTTGTGGTCTAGAATATGCTAAATCCTTCAATGGTCACCCTTGACGAAAGGATGGCGGGCACGTAATAATTTACAGATAGGCTGTGAAATATGGACCTTTCGGCACCGCACACAGGGGGTTCAAGATTTCAGTTAATCCTGAAAAGGTTGCTTGTTGAGAGTCTATACTTTATCCATGGAACACATGGGGATGTTAAGACCTCACACTTCCCACCCTAACTGCTATGGGACTGCATATCTTATAGTCCTGCTATGTACCAATGCTTTTACAATACAGGAGAATAGAGCCAAGCAATACCACATGCTTTGTAGCATCACTTTATGGTCCATGCTCTGTAGCCCACAACTACCTGTCTCCATGGTTAAGTAGTCAATCCATCTGCTATACAGGAGGGGGGTTTATTTCGCGCTTGCATAACTTAGTTCACACGCTGTTTTTGAATGGAGATCCTTAAGGATCTGTTGCTCGAGCTGTTGGCTTTGCGTGAGACTTTCAACAGGAGGCTGATCATTCTGAAGAGGGTGACAGACCAAGCTGTAGGGAAAAGCAACTCACTTGGCAGCTGGTTGGCCAGGCTGAGCAAGATGTATTAATGATCTATCTAGGCTGAGCCTTGGACCTCTGGTGATCCCCATGTTCAACACTTTGGCCTCAGGGGTCCTACTGTGGGAAAAACAAGAACTGTTTTGGATGTGCACGCAGCACTCAGGGTCTGGATCAAGGCTAAAGCCCAGGGGTGGACCCACAACCAGGAAGTTTCCGCCAAAGTTTACAGCCAGTGAACACAGAGAACTTTTTGGCCCCGAAGCAAACCTAGTAGAAAAGCTCTGCCATATGGAATAACCCAGGTCAACCAAGTGAATCTAAGCAAATTTTTTTTTTAACTTAAATCTGTCATGCACTGCCAATTATTTTCAGACACAGATACCCCTTTACATTATGCAAGCTACCTAACATTGCTTATTATCTCACGCTGACTGTCTATTTCTTATAACTAATTTCTTTAAGTTTATTTCTTCTTCTTCTTCTTCTTTCGTTCGCCTGAAATAAGTTATCTATATCAGCAGTTTTGTCTCTTGTATAAATTTCACTGTCGTTGTTAGTTCATTCAGTGGTCCATAGAGTTTACGTTCCACTGTTGTTCTTTCTGGCCAAAAGGTTTGCCTTAATGTGTCAAAATCGGTGCAGTCCTGGAGTACATGCTCTGCGGTCTGGGGCACATTTCCACAGGTGCACATGGCTGATACACCTATCTTGAATTTTGTGTACATGTGGTTACGTAATCGGTTGTGCCCTGTTCTGAGGCGGAAGATAATGACTTGTTCTGGTCTGTCCATAATAAAATAGTCGTCTTGTGCTGGGGCTGGTGGTTTCCTGATCGATTTAATGATTCTTTTCTTTTGGTGGTATGTGACTGGTACATCTGGCTGCTCTTTTGTCGCACCTTCCCCTGCCAGTTGATCAGCTTTCTCATTTCCAGGCACTCCACAATGAGACGGTATCCACTGCATTACGACTCTTCGCTGAACGCTGAGTTGTGTCAGCAGTGTTTGCAATTCTGGTAGTTTCCTATACTGGAGTGCTTCAAGTACTGATTTAGCATCTGTAAGCATTACCACATACTGTGAGCCAAGGTTGGTATTTAGCAGTTTCTCTGTAGCTATCTTAATAGCCTGGGTTTCTGCATCGTAGTTATGGCAGTACTTCCCGGTTGGTACGCTGGACTTATCCCTAGTACCATCTGGGAATTCGATGTACACTCCAGCACCACCATTTCTAACTGCACTTTTTGCGGACCCATCTGTATAGACTCTGACCCATTGTTCTTGTGGGTATTCTTCATCAATATAACTGAGGGTGGCCATTTTGCGTTGTACACTATCTTGCTCTTTCTTGTCAAATATCCCTTTCACATTTGTCTGGATTTGTACCGTTAGATTACATTTTTCTCTCCATGGGGTTTGTTCCGGAATACTTTTAAGTGGGCAGTCAATTTCTGGAAGGTCAGGAGTTCGTCTACATATTCTTTTTGCTTGGCGTATAAAGCTGCTTCTTTTTAACCGTCCCAAGGCTAGGTTCTTAAATCTATTTTCCATCGGGTGATCTGGCATACTGAGGAACTTTTCAGCTTGTATTTGCAACTTTGTATCTCTGCGTTCTCTCAGTGCCTGTGTTTTCCCAGCTTTCTCCATTTCTAATATGGGGGTTGATTTCATCCCTGCTGTGATGACTCTGAGCGCTTGATTTTGCACTTTGTCTAACTCCTTTAATGTGGTACTAGATGCTGAACACCATGCAGTTGACCCATATTCCAAGTGTGGAAGTATGCTCTGCTTGTATACTTTATTGAGTATTTTCCCATCTGCTCCCCATGTGGTTCCACTTAGTTTTCTTAGTATTGCTGTCTTCCTCCTGGCTTTGGTTGCTGCCTTGTTGATATGTTTTCTCCATGTCAACCTGTCATCAAATGTGACTCCTAGGTATGTGGGCTCTTTATCATCTCTCAGAGGTATTTCGTTTATTTTGATGGTGCCGGCTTTTTGCTTTGGGGAGAGGGTGAATAGTGTGGTGCTACATTTGCTACTGTGTTGATACTGACACACCATCTTTTGGCCCATGCCTCAAGTGCATTTGTGGCCTGCTGTAGTGTTTTTGTGGCTATCATTGCATGTTCATTGGTGCACCACAGTACCAGGTCGTCGGCATACATTGCCATTTTGATTCCATTTGGTATCTCAGCAACCAGATCGTTGATAAATAAAAGGAAAAGTGTGGGCGACAGGACACCACCTTGAGGGACGCCTTGTCGCAGTAACTTTTTTACTTTTGAAACCATCTACCTGTACCTGTTTATTTCTTCAATTAACTACATGTAGGAAACGAATGACAAAAAAATGTACAGAAAATTAATACCTTCTCTCCTTCTACGACATCAAATTCAACTTTTTCACCATCTCCAACACTTCGCAGATATTTTCTTGGGTTGTTTTTAACTATGGCCGTCTGGTGAACAAAAACGTCTTCTTTTGTATCATCGCTGAAAAGATAGGGCATCAGTAAACCACACAGAACACTTATATTTCTGTTCTTACCTCTATCAAATATTATCATTAAATTACGGAAAGTCATTTAAATAAAATGTGCTGAACAGGTTTTTAAATAGTAAACCCCAATTACAAACTTCTATAATGTTGAATAGGGTAATCTTTATATATTTAAAAAAAAGCTATTCCCTCTGTTTATTTCTGTTCTCAAAGCTCTTTCACATAACATGGCCAAACCATTTTGTCTGCTTCTCATTCCTGTTCTAAAGGTTGATAATATTTATGCTGTCTGTCTTGGTATAGCAGTCACATAGTTGACTAAGAAGCAACAAAAGAAATGATTGGACATCTGTCATCCTTTTCCTTACACACATGTTTTAGGCCTTCACAATGTGGAAAGGGGAGGGGGGGGGGGGGGAGGGGAGACAACTGCTTAGGCCTGTATTGCTAGTGCTCAGGTGACCTCCTCCCACAAACATTTGGGTGAGGACTCCAAGACAGACACAAAGACAATAGATATCTATGGGGCAGTTATGTCCTTATCTTGGGTGGTTCTCCAACATTTACTGGAAACACAACATTAGAATGTATAGACTGAACGAAACGAAGATAAAACTTTTGCAGTGCATTAGAAAAAGCACAAATAATACCCCTTTTTCCTGCCAAACATTATGATCATGATTATAAAACGAGGGGGGGGGGGGGGGGGGAAGTGTACAACTGAGCTCGTGATTTTTTTTAAAACTTCAGCCTAGACACTCCAGTTGATATTGTAAATTCACTGTGAGGATTTTGGGGCCCCAAAAAATACACCCACCGCCTCTCTAACAAGCATGTCGAAGGAGTTGACTAATGGGACCTTTTTCAAAGCTAGACATCTGCCTGAGCGGCAAGAAACATCCAACTGCACACAAACCAGTAAAATGGATTTGACGCAAAACACAGCACGCCCTAGCACAAAGTCCAAAACAGATGAACAACCAGATCTTCTCAGCTGCCAGAGCTTACAAAGAAGAAGATTATCAAAAATGTGTGTCTAGTGACAGCTTTAAAAAAAACAACTGGGTAAGAACCCACTTTTTTTCTAGGTGCAACAATCATTCCTAGAGCCATGAAGAGCAGTTTTCAATCATGGTCTGGCGTGGATATCAAGCAACAGCCTGAATCACTTATGCAAACATATCTGTCAGACAGATGCACGCATGCAACACAGAGGTTCTGGAACATGACTGCAGTGGACGAACAACCAGAACTTTTCACCAGAGTTTACAGCTGGTGAACGCAAAGAAGACTGGGCTATCCTTTGAATAACTGCCACATTTTATGGGAGCCACAAAAACACCCTAACAGGGCCTTAGTCACATGCAAATTTCTGGCGACTACTGCCGAGCGTATCTCCTATGCCGCTTTACTTGTGAATCCCAGTAATTTAGTTTAGCCCCAATCCACACCGCAGGTAGCGGCATGGCAGATACTTTGTAGTGGCGGTAGTCGCCAGAAGTGTGCATTTAAATGTGACTGCTGCCCTGTTTTGGCTGCCATACTATGTGGCCGTTAAAAAGAGGAAAGCCGAAGACTGATACTGTGTGGTTGTTGCATGGACAGAAACAAGCAAATACTGGGGTGATGATGGGTGTCCTTCTGGTGATTACCTTATTTTCTATCTAAATTCTTTTAAAAACTGTCTTAGGGTACAGCAAAAAGGCTAAAAACATTCTTAGGACTTTGGTCCACTTTACTGATTAGTGATCATGCTTTGAGGTGGTTATAACTCAGACCAGACCAGCAATTAAGTTATAACTAACACCCTCTGATTACTGATACATCTACTATTGATTCTGCTGCTATATTCTCAGCATGCAAAAGTAATCCTAAAAATAACTGCATTTTCCATCCTAACTTGTTCAGCATGAGTATCACTCTGAAAATGTAATAAGTACTAGTAACAATGTAATAATGGCACCAAAAAGAGAGAAAGCATTCAGTTACTCTGACATACCCCTCCAATAATTCAGAGATAACTGGAGGGAGGTGAGATAAACGAAGAGGAGGAAGGTGGAACTGCTATGTCACGCCACCTTCTTCCCCCAAGGGTCGGTCTGCAAGCCCAGAAATCGCCTGACCCACTTCTGTCGGCACTCGGCATTACCGGCTTCTCGATCTTTGTCCTTGCTAGCCCACGTGGGGCTCATATAGACGGTAACCACGCCTTTCCTCCCAATATCCGCCCGGTAACTACTGCAATTATGTGAAATATATGCTTTAATTAAGCTAAATATAACATGAAATTGTGTTAGTTAAGCGTTAGTAGGGAGTTGAACTCAAAACAAGCTGGCGACGTCAGGCGCTCCCTCCCATTTTCCCTAACTTACCGATTGATAAATCCATATCCACTTTTCACATTAAACCATTTTACTGTTCCTGTAACGTGGGCCGCTGAAATAAAAGACAACAGCCATTTTAAACCATCATAAACACAACACAATTAAAAGACAATACGGTACAATGATTTATGGTGGCGATAAACGAAAACTATGGGCATAGGATAGGCAGTTTGAGTTGGAGAATCCAAGCGACAGAACAGTCACCTACCGATAACTTTTTTTTCCTTTTGTTGTTCTACTTTTTGTTCAGGTGCCGGCTTGTTGTCAACCTCAGATTGATTTTCTGTGTCGGCCATGGCAGATGGTAAATGCCGTTTGTTGGTACTACTAAAAAAAAACGCCCCGACTGTTTCTTCAAGATCTTTCCCTGACCATGTCCTTCTTCACAATGGAGGCCGGTTTCGCTTGTTGGCTCGTCGAGCAGACGCCTGCAGGCCATTGGTCGCTTCAGCTGACGTCACCGACGGCTGGCCCATTTCATTGGTTACATGTTGCTAGCTATTACCGTTTGGGATCAGGGTTGCCATATTGGCATTTTTAATGCCAGATTCCCCAAATTTTGGCATATTTGAAATTGAACTGGCATTAGATAATGGACTGGCATATTTGGGCATATTTGGGTTTTCCCTGGCTTTTCTTATCACGATGTGCTCACATTTTCTTCATGGTTCCTCCATTAGAAACATGTAGATTTACTAAAAGCAATCTAGACCTACAGTTAACATGTTTATTTCAGTTTAAATTTGTTGTGATGTCCTGGTACGGACTAACGAATATTCGCGCCATTTCTTATTGTATTTGTTGTCTTCCTAAACGGATCGTGACTTCTATAAATCCTTAGACACTCAGTGTACGCTGTTGGCGTCCAACTCGTCCCTTTTTTTTGCCCCTACCTGCGCGTTGGAGGTATATAGGCTGACCGTCGTTTCATTGAACGAAGTTTTTTCGCCAGGGACACTAGATGAGTATCGTTTATTCTATACATTAGAGTCCTATGTAGTCACTTCATAGTTAGAGCCTATTTGTGTATGTGTACTGTGTTGTCCTTCATGTGCTGATGAAGGCTAATCGCCGCAACGTCCTTTGTTTGTTTATTGTGATCGATTTTGTAAAGCTAACATAAACTAATTGTTGTTTCTTACCAACTTTTTCTCTTCCCTGTAATTTTCTACTCCTTATAAAAACTTCTATAAACCAAGGCCCTCTGTAATTTATGTTGATCTGCAAGAATAAATGCGGGATTTAAAACTAAAACCCACCACTGATACCAAGTGATTTAGACTGTTCATAAACTACTTGAGGACAGAAAATAGAGAGGATATAGACTTATCTGTGAAAGATTTTATTACTTTTTTTCTGGTAATTTTAATTTCAGCTTCATAGCAAACGGGTCACCCCATCTTTGCTCCGCTCCTGTGCCTACTGAAAACACACAGAATGTTTATCACAGTCCCTTGTGGAAAGACAAACTACTTTGTCAGCAAATCTAGCATACACTCGCATTAAAAGCATATGGTAGCTATCCGAAGTGCTAACACAAACAGTCTGACGTTAGAAATGCAGTTCATCATTGATTGTAGCAGAAGTCACCAAAAGATCAGCAGTTGCACACGCGATCAATTTTAATCAAATAATGGCCCCACCAATATTGTGACAACCAGCATCGCGCCATTTTCTGATTCTACAAATCACACCACCACGTTGGTCAGGTGAAAAACATTCCAAATGAAATCTGCAGCTCACAGTGTCACGCCATGCACTCAACTAAGAAGCTGGGTAACGAAACTATATACTTCTAGTCTACAAATTGAGCAAAAAAGCAACGACCACAGTCTGGAAGAAGCAAAACACTAGTGCCTAATGTTCATTTGGACCTGAAGCATTATGTGAGGGTTAATAAACTGTCACCCCGGCAGTACCCTACTATTAGCTGGGGAAGGGATTTAGGACATTACATCCACCAGCAAGCGTCGCCCCAACAACGACCTGACAGCCATGCAGTTCTTTGGCACGAAGGAGACACCTTGAACTTGGGTTTGGACTGCCGACTCCCTGCACGAAGATATATGTGTGCTACTGGTGTCCTGTAGCCAAAATACTATCTCACTGTATTACTAAAATTCAGCACGCATACTCAAAGGCGCAGTAGTTGAAAAAAAAAAACACACACACACATACATACACTCATTACCTGCCACCCGCTTGCTTGCTACATGACTACATATTTATATAAGTATATATACATATATCGGGAGAGGGAGAGAGTGAGACAAGGGAAGAATCATGCCGAATGACCCCACATATGTAAGACACTGACACAGGGAATTCCTTATGCACACAAGGTCGGCATGACTGGCTCGTCATCCAAAAAAAAAAAAAAAAAAGATTCTTATGACATTGCAGGTATAATAGTAACTGGAAGAAAACATACACACGGCTCAAATGATCTTTAGACAGCATATTGCAAAATGTGTCAGTGCACTGTTGCACCAAGAATTAGTAGTATATCAAATCACGAAAAATCCGAAAAACACAGGATGAAAACTCCGTCAAAAAGCCAGTCACAGCTTATTACAACAATGACTCCTATCCTAGGCAAAGTAATGATAAAGTTGAAAGCAGCAGAGTTGCAACTTGTTGTAGGCATGACCTGCTATTGTGCAATACGCACAAATGATCATCAAAGTAAAATAAGAGCGCTTGGTGGGGGGAGTACATTGGGGCACAAACAGTTGCATCTAACTAAATTTTCATGCCTAATAAAAAATATATAACATATAGTGCAGCTCATTAAAATGCTCTATCAAGACCAACAAGCAGCAGTCAGAATAGATGGAGAGACATCAGACTGGTTTGGCATCAAGCAAGGAGTCCGTCAGGGATGTGTGCTGTCACCGTATTTGTTCAACCTGTACGCCGAAAATATAATAACAAATGTAAGAGATGATATCAACAAGGAACAATATGATGCCCTAAACATCGGTGGTCATGAAATACCAGAAATTCGTTATGCTGATGATACAGTATTACTATCAACATCACAAAATGGTTTAGAAAACTTATTAACCTCACTCCAAAGAAATAGTGAAAATCATAACTTATTTCTTAACATAGCAAAAACAAAGATAATGCATACAAACAAAACTGCCATGGAGAAGGAAATATATGTTAATGAGGAAAGATTGGAAGTGGTGGAAAATTTCGAATATCTTGGGTCACTGGTTACCAACAATGGTGACACAATGAAAGAAATTAACTATCAATTGCTCTTCAAAGACTAAAACAACTGAATAAATTATGGAATTGTACAGATAGAATTACAAAGGTCAGATTTTTAAGAGCATGCATCTTTCCCATTGCAACATACGCCTGTAAGACCTGGACACTTACTAAACAAGCGGAACAGCACATAAATGCATTTGAATATAAATGTTACAGACAGGTTCTAAGAATATCTTGGGTTTAGAAAAGAACAAATGCATCCATACTTCAAGAGCTGAATATTGAAGAGGGTTGGCTAGTAAAGACAATAAAACAAAGAAAATTGAAATATTTTGGTCACTTGAAACGTCATGGAAGGCTAGAGAGAACAATAATGGAGGGGTATATGCCTGGGAAGAGAGGAAGAGGAAGGCCAAGGAGAAGATGGGTGCAGGATGTGGCAGATGATCCCCAGATGGGTGTATCAGACGCAGGACATCTTGCTCAGGATAGGCAGGTTTTCCGGAGGGTTGTTATGGCAGCGAGGTTCCGCGAGGGACATGCTACTGAATGAATGAATGAATAAAAAATATTATAACGCCTGCACTTAAGGATGACCTTATTGATGATTTTCGCAACAAAAAAAGTGCCATCATTATAGATGAGTTGCAAAGACTTCATTTCATCTAAGAAAATGCTTAAAGATTTTACATCTCAAAAGGTTTGCGCTGTATTTTCCACTGGTTCCAGTTGAGGATGACAGTAAAGAATTTAAGCTAGAGCTTTTAACGTGAAGTGGGTACAATGTTATACTTTATTTGGCATTTTCTGGCATATTTTGGATAATGGTTTGGCATAAAAATAAGTTTTTTATCTGGCAACCCTGTTTGAGATTTTCTTCTTCCCTCTTTGTGGTACGAAGGTCTGGCCGGCTCACTACACTCAAAGGAAAGGCAAGACGGACATGTAACCAGATTGTGACCGGTACCACAAGTATTGGAACTTTGCGCTGGCTACTGAAGATGAGGACGGAGCACGCATGGAATTGCCCCAAGTGCTGTGATGACAATTCTTTACTCTTTGTGGTAAAAAAATTCCAGCTAATATTGTAGAATAAAGCACCCCCCCCCCCACCCCTCCCCCTTTTTCCTTTCACCAATCATCTCATTCTACTCAATAATTTCTCTAGTCACCTACCCCTCCAACAGAAGGTCTTCTCTAAGAGCACATGAGTTTCGTGGCACGTCAGGTATACCTGAAGCACTTATCTGCCCCACAGGCCACAACAATCATCAGCATCACCGAGCACTTGCGTTTCGGAGCATGGGAGTTCCAGCCTCATCAACTATGAACAGCATTCAACGAAGAGCGCTTGAAATCGGTGTTCTGAGGCCAAACCCCTACAACGGACCACAGCATGACAAATGACGGCTAGAATAACTTTGAGACTTAATCTAGCATTTCATACACATCACTATGACATGCCTATCATCATTATCAGATGCCTGGCCGACTAGCGTGGCGATCATGCCTCTCCTCAATCCGCGATCTCCTGCAGCATGTATCAGTTCGTGTGCCGACACACCTCCATGCCATGCAACAAGACTGTCAATAATCTTCTCTTGTTGTCTTCCTCTATTCCCCCTTCCACAGATCTTTACAGTGGTCACAACATGTTCCATTTCCCCTCTTCTCATAACATGGCCGAAAAATGATGACAATCTCCGTCTGATGTCTATGGTAAGTTGTTTTCGGGCTTTCGCCTCTTTCTAAAACCTCTTGGTTGTTCGCTTTTTTTGGCTGTCCAAGGTATTTTAAGCATTTTGTTGTTGTTGTAAAACCACATCTCCGAGGCCTCAAAAAATTATTTGACCTGCCAATCGATGGTCCAGGACTCGCAGCCATATGTCAAAACTGGATGTATGTAGCAAGCAAGAATTCTTTTTCTAACTTTAATGACATTGGTATATTGCATAAGATGTTCTTCATTTTATAAAATGCAGTTTTTGCCAGTTCTGTTTCTCATCTCAGTAATGCATCTTCCATCTAATGTTATCAGTTGCTATCTCAATGGTCATGGTTACTACCGTAGTTG